TTCCCTGCAGCCTCTGTCTGCTCCTCCGTCTGCTGGTTTTTTTTCTTGCTTTGCTTGGCTTGCTTCTTGGCTTCAGCCTTGGCTGTCTTGGCCTCTTCCTTTGCTATCAGCTTGTCAACCTTTGCTTGCTCCTTCCTCTCCTTCTCATTTTGCTTCTCGACCTTGGCCTTTGCCGCTGCTTTGCGAGCAATGTCTGCCATCTGCACAGGGCAATTGCAAGTAATAATCGCAATACATGTTATTAGATCAACCCTACTCAACGTAGCCCCCTGAAACCAGACAATAATTTTTGAACAGTTACATACATGTATATATATATATGTATATATGGGGGGTATATATATATATATATAGACAGAGAGAGTACCCCAAAATTTATTTAGTATCGTTATAATCCTTATTTTCGGAAACTCCCATATATATATATATATGTACATATAGATTTATCTATAAACCCTAGAGCTAGCTAACACAACCAGTGAGCTGGCCTTCAGCTGTTGCTTAGCAAGATCACCCACATCAACATTATCCACTTTCTCGGCCATCGCGAGAATAGCATCAAGGACCCGGGATTGCTCGTCGAGACTGGGCAAAGTCGAAGGCACGCTTTCCACACATCCACGGGCCTCCTGCTCTCCCCCTATCTCTCTCTTCTCTATGCACCGTCTGTCTGCACTCCCCTCTCTCTCTCTCTCTCTCTCTCTCTCTCTCTCTCTCTCTCTCTCTCTCTCTCTCTCTCTCTCTCTCTCTCTCTCTTTCTCCCCTCTCCCGCTCTGTGCGATACACATATAGCAAAGACTATACGTTTTGATCGGCTAGATGTACTCATCATTCAAACTGCATAGTCTTGATGATGACGACAGAGCTCGAAAGAGATCATCGATATGATCATTTAACTAATTTAAGTGAAATCATTATTATAAATTATGCTATCCGAGGTGGGCCTGCGTCGCCTGGCGCCTGTTCTCCGGACCCGGATGGCTCGGCTGCATCTGCGGCTCGGCAATGTTCCACGGTTGGGTCTCCACTTGGTCGGGGTTTTCCTCAGCGGCTAGCCATGGGTTGGTGGAGATTCGGAGTTTAGCATGCTTTCGCATGTTCTGGGATGTGACTGCCGGGGTCATCCCGATCGACGGTTCCTCGCACGAACTGCATTATTGCAAGCTTCTCATAAGTACGTGCGACATATTTTGCAAATTCCAAACCCGGACCTGGAACTGCTGAACCTTAAGCTCACTCGGCGGGGGCGTGACCAAGTTCTGCAAGGTGGACTTCAGCGGCGTGGTGAAGCTTTGCAGATCGTCCTGGGATTCGATGGACAGTAAGTGTATATATATATATATATATGTATATATGCTAATGATTAGAGCACTTGCAAGCTGGAATAGATAACGATTCCGGGCATCGACATTTGCCACATCGGCCATGTCCACATCGGATCCCTGCAGACAATAGCACTTGAAGTTATTTTCTTCTTGAGGCTTAGGGCCTAGGGTACCGGCTAGAAGCCACATATATTATGTATTGTCGCATTGCTCCGAGAGACTTGAACAGCTATAGGATCCAAACCCTATGATATTGACATGTATGAAGCTATACCGGAAAGTATATATATATATATATATAATTTAAACCCAAAAGCCTTTATATCCAAGCTATACTTTGCACCCCCTGCTATGCCTGATCAGCACACTATCCTCATCGCATCTTACAGCATCTAGCCTGCACTGAGTCGGCCATTGCATCCTGATCCTTGGCAATCTCCAGCACAGCCTGCTCCAGGATGGCATCCGTGTCAACCGTAGAGCCTGCAAGAAATAGCAGGATCGGAGTTATAATTACCGTACCTATTAATTAGCGACACAGTACGTAATTGCATTGTAGTCCGGTGAAGCACCTTGCAGCTCTTTCACCGTCTGCCTGATGATCTGCTTCAGAGATAGCACCTTTGGACTCCTCGGAGCTCGAAGAAAAAACGGCTGTTTACGAGTGCTTCGCAGTTTGCAATATAAATAATTTAAACGAGGTGCCGTGCTCCGGTTGCCCTTTTTGCTAGGGTTAGTCCATAGGCAGCAGCCCCTCTTATGGTGGCCCCTTCGCAAGCCGCCCAGTCCTTAATATAGCAAGCCAACTCGAGCTCAAGCAATTCTGATGTGCAACACAATTGCAATCTCCCTGAAACACTTCGGATTCGGTCGTGATGCCCGGATAACCTTGCGCTTGGTGTTCTCGGGGAAAATTCCGAATCGTCGTGCCAGCATCAGGACCACCTCCTTGCAGGGACTTTAAAATTTTATTATAAGTATACTTTGGCATGGCATATCTATGCAGTAAACCGATGCTCTCCTGATGCACTGAAAGCACGGGCAGGGATGATCCGAAAGTCGCATAGTACTCGGCATAGAAGCTGAAATGGCGTTCCATCTCACGGGGCAATTGAGAAATCAGACTTGGTATTATATATAGAACACGTGTACATGCACCAGGCCTGTTCGGGGGAGCAGACACCCTGCAGACGCGATGTCTAGGATAGTCTTCGCAACACCCTGGGGGGGCGATCATACACGTAGGGTAAACATGTACTAGTGGCTGGTTAACTTAGGCCTTGAACTTCCGTATCTCATCCAGCCGGGTGCCCTCCATCAAGTAGCCGCTGAGAAGATCCTGATTTAAGGGCTGGGGCTGTTTGAGCGTTATTGGATTTAGGGTTTCAGGGTTGATGCTTTAGGGTATCACGAGAGGGCTTATAAGGTTACAATATAATAATATATATTTAGCTATATTATATATACATACATATTAGCTAATAGACTGAACTCTCGTTTGTTATTAGTATATATATGTATATATATATATATATAATATCAGGATATTTGTTTTTATAACAAATTGTTTTCTACACGGGCCTCGAAAAGGGCACGTTGGTAGACACGGTGCTGATGGTCGTTCGTCGGGGCCATCGTCGTCCTTATTATTCTATCTACGCACACTTCTCGAAACACATGCTTTCTCATGCATGACATCGTCGACCGAATTGCACACTAAGTGGCTGCTAATCCCAAAACGGGGTCGCACGCACTTTGCACCGTCCGGGCCAAAAGAAACTGCTGTTTAGATGCGTTTAAACATCGAACGCATGCGCACAAGAACTGCAGTATATGCATGGGGAGGGCCACCGGGCCTCGAAGGGCCCACGCTTCATCCTCGAGCGGCATGTCGAGGTCGTCATCATGCGCAGAAATGGCACTGCCAACCGGTGTCGATCTTGATCGCTCTCTACAGCTGCTGCTCGACGTCGATGTACCGAACTCTCCAGCACCCACGCGGCCTGGGCCGTGGATATCTATATACTCGATTCCAGTGCAGTAATGCTTTCGATTGTAATTAATTTGTAAGCTTCGGACCCTCGGCCCGAAATATTTGCCGTCGCATGGTGCATCGGTCGGTAATCCCACACGGCCTAGGCAGAGGAGGCTTTTTAGTATAATTCGATCACAACGCCTCCGAAAGCTTTCGCAACTAAGCTTCAGACCCGCAACGCTCGGTCCATCACCGGATATCATGACATTGCATACATGCATGCACCATGTGAATTAAACGTCCAGGCAGGCTAAAAAACGGATACCATACTGCATGTTCATCGCTTGCTACCTTTTTGGCCGGGCTGGGCGATTAATTGCAGCACCTATCTCGTTTAAACTGCATGATTGTGCGCACTTTGTTCTGTACAACCCCAGTTGTTGTGTACAACCCCAGTCCTGCACATTCGTGTGGCAAATCATCTATTTCTAAACCTATATTCGATTCGAATTATCAGGATATCGGATATCGAAAGAGATAGCTATTGCATAGTCATAATGCAGAATCGAATTCGTGAACGTTTAAACACCAAGCTTCTGGACTAAGCCACATCGGCAACAGTCGGCCGCACACGCATCGTCGCACTCTCCCTTGAGAATGCAAATGAATCCCTGATACAATTTGCAAGCTTCAGGGCGAATGCATATCACACACCCAGCAACACAATACTAGTAGTACATGTGCTGCCCCCAAAGCCCAATAGAGCTTCATTGGGAATCCCGGTCTAATCTTCGGTTTGTTTATATACTTATTATATATATATATATATATATATATATATATATATATTATTATATACATATACATACAAATATGCTATATACTTATATGTTATACATTTATATCTACAGATAAACTATATTAATGTAGGGGTCTCTGGGGTGTTGTTTTCCTTTCTCACACACACACACACACACACCGGATAACCGGGCATTGCGATGACCATGCAATCAAGATGTGCACGCTAATTATATATACACAGTCGACGACCCCGACAATTTCGATGCATATGAGTCGTGACGATCACACGAGAATGAGGTAGGGCCTGGATCAAGCTACCCCAAGCCCAAATCACGGCGATCACGGGGGCCCTGGGGCTGCGTAGGCGAAAAACGACTACATACATAATGTACGCAGAATTCGGGCACATTGCATACGTAGCCGATTCTGGAAGACACGGAGCGGCAGGGAAAGACAAGAGGTGTGACGCAACATAGGAGAGGCAAAACTTGGTTACTGGTACCTTTGTTAAGGACCAGCCCAATGCGCCCAACATGAAGACTTTGGTGATGACACAGATGTCTACCAGAATGGCTGGTTGTGCCCTTGTCGGTACAAGTGCGGATCACACATCGACCTGGATCAGGTACTGGATGAATGCTTTTGGGTTGACGACTGCTGGATCTGCGGTGTTACTTCGGACTGATAGTGAAACAGTTTCTCTCTTGGGATTAGGATTGTGACTCAACTAGCACCACCGCAGGGACATGAATCCGTTGGCGGAGTTGAAAGAGCAGTACGGACGCTGAAAGAGCTGTTTAGCACGATCAGGCTTGACTTGCGAGCCCAAGGGTATGACCGGGTATGATCTGAAGCGCAGTCCGCGTGCGTTTGAATTAGGCTTGATCTACTGTGCTGCAATGCACAATCATCATTCGGCTGCATTTGATGGAAAGAAGTCTCCTCAGGAGTTGGTTTTGCAGAGACCATTGACTGAGTGTGCATCCACGTTGATCGGGATGACGGTACTTGCTGAATTACCGGATAGTATGAAGAAGACTTCCTTATCGAGATTCGTGGAACAGCTTACTTGTATCCAGAAGTTGGTGGATTGACCCATGTGGTGAGTTCACTGGTGAATGGGACGCCGCATCACTACCGGGCGAAGTCGATAAAGCACATCACTCCTCTGAAGGTTGGGGTTGAGCATTGTGGACATTTGCTCAAGGCCTATGATCCTAGCGATACATTGGCACCTCCCATCTTGAAAGAGTTGGATGATGGGATACCTTCTGAAGTAGAGGGTGAAGTCGACAAAGCCTTCGAAGGAAAGGTGTCTCAAGGACCTACCACTGACATGAGTCAGGTAGGACCACCAGCAGCTTGGGTACGAGAGCATGGAGGAACGCCTGGATGTCCAGCGTGTGGTGAGAAGCGTGGAAAAGCCATTCACAATGCTGCTCGCAAACGGCGGTGTGATAAGTGGTTGAAGGACCAACGTGAGAGGTTGGTTGGTGAAGGGGAGCAAGGGTCGGTTGAAGGTGAACCTGGATCAGGATCGACCGCGGCTCCGAAGGTTTCTTCAGAAGCAAGAAGCTCTGAGGATGCGGGGGTGCCTATTGTCAATGCACCTTCGTTGAAGCGTCCAAAGACCAGTCATGGGAGTACAGGTCTGGAAGGCGAAGAGCCCTCAGCGGCGTCTGAGTAAGCCAGATGTGATTGATGTGGAGATGTTTGAGGATCCGAGTGTTCCTTATGAACAAATTCCAGATGAGGAGATGTCTCCGGGATATTTTGAGGGTGAACAGCCTATGGAGATTGACAAAGGAGTGGTTGACGAGGCTGCACCCATGAGTGTTGAGCCTGAAAGCGCCCCAAGTGAGCCTGGCCGGGTTCCCAGGCTGTTGGAGTCACTTCATCCAAGATTGGATGCCCCAGAAGGTTTTACCAGTGCCGGTGAGGAACTTGGTGCGCCGAAGCTGGCTAAAGTGGCGAATGCGGTTCTGATTGAGAAGAACACTGTGTTTCCAGAACCGGTCCAGATGTGTGGATCCAAAGTTTGGTTGGCGAAGATGAAGAGTGCGTTGTCTGAGCTGGATGGGTGTCCATTGGACGTGTCGTCAGCTATGGAGGGTCGACGTACTGAGCTTGGAAGCATGGATTCACATAAAGCAGGAAGGATTGTGTCTGCTGAAGAGGCACATTCGTTTGCCAAGAAGCATGGGATCAGGATCATGTTTGCACTCTCCGTCGCCCCTTTTTTGGCTGCGCTGCTGGTAGTAAAGCAGTGTGTCCCGTCGTTTCGACGGTGCAGACCCCAAGCTGGAGCTCCATCCCAGAAAAGGCTTTAGCCATAAAGGCGAAGCAAGAAGAAGAGCTTCGTAGCAGCATCCAGTTTCGTTCTTTGAACACTTGCAGAAGATAGAGCTTTATTGTTCAAAGAAAAACAACATGACAACCCATCTGGGAGGATGAGAGCACGTTACGGATCAAATATGTGCGATACCAAGTCAATGCAATAGCTTTTCATGAAGGCCGCACACCATATGCCGGTCACTATCGCACATGCCTCCACCATCAGGGGTGTCTTTTTGTCACTGATGACAACACGGAGGCGCGAAGGACAGACCCTCAGATACTCCAAGTGGTTCAGTCCAACTCGTACCTAATCTTGTGCACTCTCCAGCCTGCGTCCGCAGTCAGGTAAGCTGAGGTTCCACCCTCGCTTGCACTTGTGAGAATGCTGGTTCGATGAGGGCTCCTCCTCTCTTACCGCCTTCGCGGGGGCAGTTCTTAGTCTAACAGGTTGAGGGCTCTCCTCCCTGTTTCATGGTTGAGGGTTCTCCTCCCAGTCACGCTTTTTCTTAGCAAGGGGGTACAATGCCTCTTCTTGAAGTTTAGCTGCGCCGTGTAGGGGACGGGCAGCTTCCTCCTTTTGACTGATTCTTTCAGTCGGATAGTTGCAGCTTAAGCCTGCTTTGCAGCAAGCTGCGGGGCTTCGGCCGACGCCAGGCAAGTCTCACAGACGACGACTGTGTGTGCTCTGCCGCTTGGGAGTGAAACAACATGACAAAATGACTTAGAGAACTAAGTCCAATTTTGATTTGTTGTTTTAGGGCTTTCCTTTTACACTGCCCATTTTATTGAACTCATTTATACATGCTGTAAACCAGTTGAAGAATACGTTCGTCCGTTGCAGCTTGACCTCTCGAAGGGGCAGGAAGCCCTGAATCGGGCGAGAGTTTTATTTGAAATAGGGGGGCGGGCCGGATGCTTGTGCCTCAGTCTCTCGCTGGGAGGTCTTGATGAAGTGAATCTTTTGCTCGAGTGTGTCTTGAGCTTTGAGCTTACAGTATCCTGCTCAACTTGCAGAGTGATCTCGCGGTTGCCTACTTAGCTGGAGCTTTGTCGATTTTTCGGTGTGTGACCGAAGTACTGACCTGTGTTTCAGGAGTATGCAATCACCTGAAGTGACCGGCGGAGAAGCAGAGGCGCCGACACCCTCGGATTCGTTTACATCCACTGAGAGCTTTGTGTTACACCACATGCGTGGGTTACAGATCCAGATCAGTCGGCTGCATAGAATGCAGCTCATGCTTGCTGACCGCCTTTTCGATCGCGTGTCGTGGTTGGAGCACGTAGTGAGACTTTGCATGGCCTGTTTCTTGCTCAGAGAAAGAGAAAGGCGGGCGAGGCAAACTTGCCCTGGGATACGCCTCCGGGATATATCTTCAGGATGCAGGTGGTCGTTACTGACCGCCTAACCAGATACATGACCATCACGCTCGATATTCAGCTGAGTTGCAGAGATGTTATCGATCAGGCGAAGTACTTAGTGTCACAACGTCTTTTCGAGCTTGTTGGTCGCTTCCCTAAGTTGAGCTCTTTTCAATTGGTCCAGGATGGCAGGCACCTGAGTTTTTCAGCTCCAGTGCTAGTGGCCAACACGTTGTCACCTGTGAGATTCGTTCGCACCGCCTAAAAGTCTGAGTTGAGGGTTTGTTTGACTACAGTGACATGCTGGTTGTGTTGCTGCCGTTAGATTGCAAGAGAGTGCCGGAGGTTGTCAAGCTGTTGCACGTGTTTGTAGCCGTTTGCTTCTCAGGCATTGGTTTGAAATGGCGGATGCTGTAGGGACGGATGAGGCCGATGACCGTTCTTGGTCGTCGTGGAGCTCAGCTTTCGAGCCACAGCAACCGGAGCCTCCTCTCCCGTCCGTGAAGAAGCGTAAGAAGAAAAAGACAAGGAAGGCCGGGAAGACCTCTCGTAAGAGGCATAAGGCCCGGCGGGTGAGTCCCGCGCCTGATTCGGACAGTTCGGCCATCGAGGCCAGGACGGAAGTCCTACAGGAGGTGGGGGCTCGACAGCCAACAGTGTCGGCTACGGCTTCGTCGGGGGAGCTCAGGCTACCCCTTGATGGTGATACTGCTACTGAGGACTTGCTTGACATCGATTCGCAGTCTGCAGGTACTTATACGGTGGAGGATCACACTGAGGCAGTCATGCACCATGCTAGGCGGGCTCGTGGAAATCCCAAGGCCGCCGCTAAAATGCTGGTGCGGGCCCAACTTAGATGCAGCTGTCACTTTACATATGTTCATGAGTGTGCTGCCCGAGCGGCACGGCGACTGCCTGGTTGAGGGCGCTTTTTCCCGAGTTGCTCGGCCTACGCGCTGATATGTGACCGTCAGGCTTAGGTACTTCTGCCTACTGACTTATGCTGCACTGATGTCGGCTATGAAAGTACATCTTCGTCTGAGCATCGAGTCAGCTGTGTATTGACATCGTTGTGTGTTGCGGCGCTTAGGTCGGGACGCCTGCGTGCAGAGATAGCGCTCGGGACCTCGAGCGAAAACATGCGCAAGAGCGCTCTCGATGTGAGTGTGTACGCCAGAGGTTGCGTGCGTGCAGAGGCACCTTCTTACGTGACGTTTGTCTGCCAATCCCTTTTGGCCCAAAAAAAAAAGATTCAGAGCAGCAAGCAAGGCAGGAGCCTGGTGCTGGGTGTTTGACAAGGCGCCGAAGCGCTTGACAGAATCTCGGAGGGCTGGAGCCCGGTTTCAGCTACGTGCTGAGTGTGTGACGCAGGGATGTTCCCCTGGCCAATGGGACCGATGGGGCCGATGATGCCCCCATACGGTAGTGAGAGGCGTCGGCGCCGTCGGCGCTCTCCCTCGAGTAGCTCTGAGCGCTCGAGGAGCAGAAACCGCGATCGCAGACGCGGCCGGGAATCAAGATCGGGGGGAGCGCGAGCTGCTGAGCCTTTTCCCCCGCCATTGCCTCAGCTGCCGGCAGCAGCGCCGGGATATGAATGGAGGCAAGTACCAGTGGTGCCGGTGCAGCCACCTTTGCCGCCTCCCTCGACACCTGCCCCGATTGCTCCTGCTGTGCATGTGCCTCAGCAGCAGACTACGTGGACTCGCCAGCCCTGGCGAGGAGGAGGCCAGCAGAAGCAGGGCCAATGGAACAAGCGCTGGAACCAGTGGCATCGGTCCAGCCAGGGGTCGGGTGAGCCTCGAGAGTCGGGCCGTCGGTCCTCTTGGACGGATCCAGACCATCACAACATTCAGGAGGCCACTCCTTCTGAAGTGGCCGCGGCCGACGCCCGTAAGGCTGCTAAAGAGGTTGATCAGGACGAGGCCGACGACGAAGCGTCGTACCTCGCAGCTCTGTGGAAGTCGGCGGAGGATCAAGCGCGCGCAGACCCCACTCGCCCATTGTCAGCTCGGGAACTGGCAGAGCAGGGAAAACTGCAGTGGTGGTGGAAGATGCCTTGGAAGGCCATCGCCGAGAAGTTCCCCGACACGGCTGCATACAAGGAATTCTTGGAAGGACTTGAAGGTCCGATACCGGCCTCTGTGATATCCCGAGTGGCCACGGTCCTTGCTGCCTTTCGGGCTTACGGCCGCCCCCTCGAGGGGGAGAATCCTGTGGCGGGCGTCGTCGGACCCGATGCTCACATTTTTCGGGTGCCTGGGCAACGAATTTTGATCTTATCCTGCGAATTGCGCGGGCCAAGCTATATCCGCAATCCGAACTCGGAACACTCTGCTATCATGGCTCATGGTACCTCTTTCCCATCTTTAGTCGGCGTGGCGGAGATAGGGGAGATCGCAGTGAACGATTATCGCGATCAGGGAATTCCCTGCTTCGGCTTTTCGGCACGAGGTTCATTGGTCGGACTGTCGCGAGATGCACTGGAAAGTGCAGCGACAAAATGCGCGAGTCGGGCTAAAGCCCTGGGTGGTGCGATTATCCTCGTAGAGTGCGAGTTGCCACGGGGCACCCCCTCTGTGGAGGGGGGGAACGAAATGATGCAGATCTGTTGCCGGGACGCTGGCTCGGTCAGGTCGGGGGATCACTTTTTGATCTCCCCAAAACACGCGATTATGAGAGGAATCGCAGTAGGGTGGCCGTGTTGAGCGGCATTATCCCTGCAGATGTGAGCATTGTTGTTATTGTAAGCTAATGCCAATGTTGTGCTGAGTCTTCTATTGGAGCTCTATAGCTTGCTAGTTTGGTTTTGCTGGCATTGCTCACACCAGAGGTGGTGGATACTATCCTTATGAACCACGAGGGAGTGGCAGACCGTCGGGAATCTCGCGATGAAAAGTTGTGCCATTTGTCCCGCCTCGGGGGGTCAGACCTGAGTGGTGTCTGCTACGCTTTGTGTATGCTGCGAGGGGAGATTCCCAGCGGAAGTAGTTTCCGTGTTGGCAACTTATTGTTCACGTATTGTCGGTTCAAGTTTTGACCGGTTTGGTGGGGCGTAGTTCCTGCCAGGGTTCTTGCGATGTCTGGCCACGACCCTAGAGCGAGTGAGAATGAAGTGTTCATGCGAAGCATCACTCATGCTCGGTCGTCGCTGCCTCGGCAGCCTTGGGAACAGCCGGCTATGCTGTGCATATTCGATCCATTGAAGGCGGCTTTCCCTCAGGGCTTGAACTTGCCTTATCAGGGAGTGGTCCCTGCGTCGCCTGTTCCTCAGACGGCAGCACAGCCTTCAGATTCCGGAAATTCGGTGACGAGTGGATCTCATTGTCAGGCATGGACCCGTGCAGTCAAGGCAAAAAGATGGCCTAGGGCCGCGGATCGTCGTGAAGAGGCGTACCGCCGGGTCCTCACATTACTTCATGCCTTTTCCAGTTTCATTGACCTGTGTACTTTGATGGCGGATGACGAGGAGGACGGCCCGGATTCTGTCCAGGCAGTTTTGGCAGGGAAATCACCGAATACCATCTTGAAGCATGTGGGTCCGGTCCGTACTTTTTGCGAGTGGCTTTTGAAAGCAAGTCATACTCCGCCTTTTGCGGAGAAAGTATTGTGGTCTTTTATCCATTGTGTCCTCAAGATGCCTAAGACCGCGGCCACCACACTGGACAGTAGTCTGCGTGCTATCAAGTGGAGTTATTATACCTTGGGACTACGTGTTCAACTAGAGGTCTTCAGCAGCCCTCGAATTCATGGTGTGGTGAAAAAGGCGCTACAGACTAAAAACCCGTGGTGCCCGGCGTCGCCCCTCAAGGTGTCCGAAGTTCTCCAGTTGCACGCGATCTGTTGTGATCGTGATATCTCTGTCATTGATAGATGCGGGGCGGCACATTTCCTTGCTATGCTCTACGCGAGGGCGCGAGCATCGGACATCCGGTGTGTCAAAAGTATCTTGATAGACGTGCACAACGAAGACTGGAGTTCGGGCTTCATTGAACTAGGGACGCTTGAACACAAGACGTCTAGGCTGGACACTCAACGACGCCGCATACTGCCTCTGGTGATTCCCGGCCAGGGTATTGCTAAAACGCCTTTTGGTCAACTCCTCCTGGACATTAGGGCTGAGGCTGGTTTGCCGAACGATCAGGCGGATGTCCCATTCTTACCGGCACCTCTGCCGGATGGATCTTGGTCTTCAGACCCGTTGTCTAGTAGCGAGATTACCAGGTGGCTGAGGTATCTACTGCCACGTCCATCGACGGAACAGGCCGTCAGTTCGCACTCATTGAAGGTTACTTCACTTGTTTGGTGTAGCAAATTTGGGATGCTCCGCGAGACCAAGCGAGTTCTAGGCCATCACGCGGATGCAGCGACTGGCAGCGATGCAGTTTATGGGCGTGAGTTGCAGAGCGCAGCGCTACGTGAGTACGTTGTCGTATTGGATGCAGTGGCGACGGGTAAGTTCCTGCCGGGCCAGACTCGTTCGGGTCATTTCTCATCAGGTTGGACTCGGGAGTCCATCTTGCAGGCGGCTGCTTTTCCGCAGGACTCGGAAGTACTGCAGGTGGCTGTGGAAGATGACCAAGATGAGGCTTTGGCTGTGGTTTCTGATGTTTCAGACTCTGATGAAGAAGCCCCGGAGGAACAATCTTTCTGGGCTGATCCGACTAGCCAGGTCCTGCATCGCACGACTTTGGGGTCGGCAATGTTTTTGTGTGGCCGAGCTTTTGGCGATCATTATCGGCGCATTCCTATGGCTCGGGCGCAAGCGCACCCGCAATGTGCCAAGTGTTTCCCACGGAGCGCAGTTTGATTTCTTAGCCTGCTCGAAAAGCCAACAGCTGTCCCAGTATAGTGCTCGGTGTGCATTGTGAGAGCTGCTTCCTCGCTAGCTTTTTCGGTTGCCAGGTACTTAGCCATGACGAGTTCCGTAGATTCGGCGCCTTTCTTTGTGCAGCGAGCGGATGAAATCTCGCTTGCCAAGCGAGTAGTGGATGCCTTGAAAGGTAAAGGGGTCACCACTTTGGCCCAGCTGGCCTTCTGTGTCGGACAACCGGGACAGGTGCTATCTCAGACTGAGTTTGACACGTGGAGCGAGGCCATGTTGGTAGGCATCACGGTGGGCGAGAAGGCGTCTCTGAGGCGCCTGATCTGGAAGCTCAGACCATGCTAGTGGCTTCTTTGAAGGATCTGGCAGAACCTGCTGAACACGCTTCCCCTAAAAAGGTGGGGGTAGCCGAGCGGAATGCTCGCATGGATCAGCTTCGGACTCAGCTCGCCGGAGTGTCGCTCACTGGACAGCTTGAGCCGAGTCATGCATTACTTGACATGGCCGTTCAGCAGTGGGAGAGTCGCTGCCTGAAGTACATTGGTCCAGAGAAGTGTCATAGCCGCGAGGATGAGGTTCAGAACGTTAAGCCTTTGACCACCAGTCTCTCCTTGGAAGGCGGTAAGCTGAAGGTTACGGAGGCTGCTGGTATGGATGATCGTGACATTGAGGGCTCTTTGCAGGTCCTTAATGCCCTGCGCCGCAGAGGAGTGGCTTACGCATTTGCTCGCTTGATCAGTTGGGAAAGACATGAAGCTTATGTTTCTTCCTTGTTCAGGTATTTGACCAAGCCCGCTCAGCCTGGTTACAGGAAGGTGTCTCTTCGTCAGATCTTGCGGGCTGACAAGCTTGCCTTCTCCAAGTTGTCGGAGGCAGGTGAGGACATCCGGGCAGATGCTTCCGCGATCGGGGCTATCCTTCACGATTATGACCTAATTGTAGCTCTTCTGCCTATGGGCGATTTGGATGGTAAGGGCAAGAATGCTAATGGCCGTGGTGGGCGCCCGGGTCCTTACAGCGATAATGCGCCCTGAAAGGGGAAGAATGGCAAAGGTAAAGGCGGTTGGAACTCCAAGGGCTCTGAGAGTTGGACAGGGAAAGGCAAAAACACCTGGCAGGCCAAGGGCATGGAGCCGGTAAACCGGAATGGTTGCCTGAGGGACTTCGCTTCCAGGGAGCATCTGCATGGAATAATAAAGGCAACAAGGTCTGTTACGGTTTCAACCTCGGGACATGTTCGGATGCGAACTGCCAGAAGGGCGATCACACTTGCTGCATCTTTAAGTGCGGTGGCGATCACCCGGTGGGGAAGTGCCCCTTGAAGCCCAAGAAGCTGTGACTAGCGGCTCCGCCGCCTTGCACCGCCGCCTCGGCGTCGGACGTGGAGATGACACCTTCGGAAGAACCCGTTTCCGGTGCCGTCTCTGTAGCTGATGTCACGGCATCGACCTCACCGCCTGTTGGAGTGGGAGTGGACCCTGCTTCAGAGATGGTAGATGTCGACGATTCTCCGATTTTTGTAGAACCTACAGTTTTGGATCCCCCTACGATGCCGAGCGCTTCGTCTGAGCCTTTTGCTTTGGAGCGCACAGGGCGCGAGGGGGCGCTCCCCTCACCTCCCGCGGCATCGGAGGACTTTTCTCCGGCACCGCCTACTCAGGAGCCGGCCAGAGCCGTTTTGCAGTGCTTTGCAGGTCAAGCTCGTGTGGCTTCGGCTTTGATTAAGCAGGGCTATTTTTCCTATGGAGTGGATCGATTCAAGCAGAAGGCGACCATGGCCCCAGTGTTTCAGATGGACTTGTCGACGCGGGAGGCGTGTGACTCTGTTCTAACATGGCTTGACAACCGGAAGATCGCGGGTGTTATGGTATGTATTCCTAAACACGCCTCGGAGCCTGTTACTACTGCTTTCGTCCTGGCAGTGATGGCAGGGTGCTTGAGCAACAACCTGCCCATGGTTCTTGAGGGTTCGGTGTCCTCCCCCTTTTGGGAGAGTTTCAATCGTTTACCATCAGCACAGCACCCTCCGCATAGGGTGGAGGTGGATTGGCAGCTTTGGGACTCACATAGCAAGCAGCGCAGCCTCGTGTGGTCTAATTTGCCCGAAATCCTCACTGTGCGCAGGGAGGCGGCACCTATGGGACATAAGGTGCAGCAGCGATCGGAGACGCAGACAGGTTATCCGCCGGCTTTTGCCACGGCGATAGCTGAGGTGTTCATTGCAGGCCTGACTCAGCGACAGCTGCCATGCCGCAGCCCGGCCTTAGCTAACAAATCACTGCGAGTTTCGGCTATGAATCAGCCACGTGGGGCGATGCCGGAAGTGGTGTCTGAGTGGAAGTTGGTGGTTTATGTCCTTCTGCCACCGCAGGTTGAGGACCCGTTTGGCGGGTCGAAACGCCTCAAACAGGACTGGCGAGTCCCGCACGGCGCCCGCGTGTTGCCGGAGCTCAAGCTGCTCCCGCAGGATTCCCAGCTTCTGTCGCGTACTCAGTCAGGGGGGCAATTGAGCCCGCAACTTCAGCAGGAAATGCAAAACTTGAATGGAGCCTCAGTTTTGCGAGTGGGCATCCCATGGGATCCCATTGAATTCATTGCTAAAGCAGGTAAGATTGGACACCCATACCATAAGTTATCCAAGTGCAACAAGGATCTCAGAGACCTTGTTCATGACTTAGTACACAAACCGGGACCGGTTCGTTCTCAGAGGAAGAATTACATCGAGAAGTGGGCCAGAAGAGCCAAAGAGTTGGAACCAGAGGAAACCAAGCTGAAGGCTGGCATGTCGGATCACAGAAGGAAGATCCTTCAACCCAAACGTATCTTACTATTTGAAGAGATGCTGCGAGACATTGGGTATGACGATATGGGTGTGGTTCAGGAGCTCATCGACGGAGCCACGCTGACGGGGGACATTCCTATCACTGGGGTGCTGGATACCAAGCTCAAGCCTGCTAGGTTGGATACTGAACAACTTACAGGGATGTCTGATGAAATCAGACAGCAGATCCGGGTGAAGACTGGGTCGTCGGGTGATAAGGAAATCGACCAGCTGTTGTGGGATAAGACGATGGAAGAGGTACAGAGTGGATACCTCTCAGGACCTTACGATTTCGAGTCATTGCCGAAAAGATGTTTGGTCAGCTCCCGTTTTCCGTTGCTACAAGGGGAGAAGCTGCGACCAATTGACAACTACTCATCGAGTTTGATTAACGACACGGTCACAGTTTCTGAAAAGCCTATCACGCACTCTATCGATGAAATTGCATTGCTGATAAACACGCTTTCGAGTGCTGCCCGAAAGAAGAACCTGAACGCATTGTACGGGAAAACGGCGGATCTGAAGGGAGCTTACAGACAATTGGCGGTATCTGATACAAGCTTACATTTTTCTTACCTATCGGTCTACGGCCCGGCAGAGGAGAAGCCCAAGTTGTTCCAACAATTAGCTGTGCCCTTCGGCTCAACCAAGGCCGTGTATTTTTTCCTCAGAGTGGCGAGAGCTCTTTGGACTATCTTGGTCAAAGGGGCCAGAATCCCGACCACGAATTATTTTGACGACTTTGTTCTGCTCGCTCTTGGAGGAGATAGGAGTTCGTGTTCGCATACTTTCGATGAAGTTATGAGGCTGCTAGGTTGGAAGCTGTCAGCTGATAAGACGACAGAGTGGGACACTAGCTTCGAGGCCCTTGGCGTCCTTTTCGAGCTTGACCAGACAGGGTCGGGAGTTCTGAAGGTCAGGAACACTGAGAAACGACGAAAGGAACTTACTGCTGCGATCAAAGGTTTCCTGGACAAGGGAACCATGACTCAGAAGGAAGCGCTACAACTGCGGGGTAGGCTGCAGTTGCAGTTTGCCCAAGCCCAGTTTTTCGGCAGGCTGGGAAGAAGGTGCCTTACGGAGGTGACAAAGCATGGCTACACTGGCAGGTCGAAGCTTTCGTCGATGGCCAAGGAACGACTTGAAGAGTTTGGTAAGTTCCTTGACATGGCCGAACCGAGGTTAGTGGGAGAAGTTTCATGCAGGACTTTTATGATCCTGACCGATGCGGCGTTTGAAACGGAGTCAGGAACTGGAGGCCTGGGAGGCGTCCTTCTCACCGGGTCAGGCTCGGCACTCTCTTTCTTCAGCGTGCCGATCTCAGAGCAGCAAGCCAAGTCTATGTCGTTGCAAGATGAGCATACCATCATATATGAGCTCGAAATGTTCGGGGTCTTGATCGGTCTCAAGCTCTTGGTCGAAAAGACAGCTGCTTTCGCAGAATCATACGAACAGCCAGGTGCTGTTGCTGGAAGTGATTTGTTATATCGATAATGATGCTGCGAGACATGCATACATCGCCGGCTCTTCGAAGAAAGGGGTTGCTGGGATTCTTATCGATGAAGTCAATTTCCTGGAGTATGTCCACGGCATCTTGCCGTGGTATGCGAGAGTGGCATCACCCGCCAATCTGGCTGATGAACCATCGAGGATGAAACTTGATAGAGTCAAGAGGCTAGGATTCAAAGACGAGTCCGTCGAGGCGACTAAAGCGGTGTTATCAATTGTGAAGAGAGTTTCGAATCTGCCTGCTTAACACTGCGACTCCTTGAAGTGGGGACGAAAAGAGTCTTGTGTCTCACAGGACTGACAGTTCGAAGATTTCTGCCGTGTGCGGTACTTGCTACCCCACCGTGTGAAAACAGCGTCGAGCTTGAACTCTCTGCATGCGACATGTGCGAGTGAAAGCATTCATACCTGGAGGCTCAAACACAATTGACATACAATTGACATCTCAATACAAAGCACGATCTTTGAACAATAAGTTTCGTTCTTTGAACACTTGCAGAAGATAGAGCTTTATTGTTCAAAGAAAAACAACATGACACTTCCAGGATTGTGTTGAACAATTCTTTCGGGGTCAACGATGTGGTTGTGCGCTCGCCTCAGCAGCGCCACTTCTCTGCTTTCAGCTGAAACGGTATGTGTTCAATGAACGCACTGGTGCGGTGCGCAAACTCGCAACGCCAATCAGCTTCGATGAGCCGTCACTGCAGGTGCCCATCTGGGAGGATGAGAGCACGTTACGGATCACATATGTGCGATACCAAGTCAATGCAATAGCGTTTCATGAAGGCCGCACACCATACGCCGGTCACTATCGCACATGCCTCCTCCATCAGGGGTGTCACTTTGTCACTGATGACAACACGGAGGCGCGAAGGACAGATCCTCAGATGCTCCAAGTGGTTCAGTCCAACTCGTACCTGTTCTTGTGCACTCTCCAGCCTGCGTCCGCAGTCAGGTGAGCTGAGGTTCTACCCTCGCTTGCACTTGTGAGAATGCTGGTTCGATGAGGGCTCCTCCTCTCTTACCGCCTTCGCGGGGGCAGTTCTTAGTCTAACAGGTTGAGGGCTCTCCTCCCTGTTTTTATGGTTGAGGGTTCTCCTCCCAGTCACGCTTTTTCTAGGTAAGGGGGTACAATGCCTCTTCTTGAAGTTTAGCTGCGCCGTGTAGGGGACGGGCAGCTTCCTTGACTGATTCTTTCAGTCGGTTAGTTGCAGCTTAAGCCTGCTTTGCAGCAAGCTGCGGGGCTTCGGCCGACGCCAGGCAAGTCTCACAGACGACGACGACGACTGTGTGTGCTCTGCCGCGTGGGAGTGAAACAACATGACAAAATGACTTAGAGAACTAAGTCCAATTTTGATTTGTTGTTTTAGGGCTTTCCTTTTACACTGCCCATTTTATTGAACTCATTTATACATGCTGTAAACCAGTTGAAGAATACGTTCGTCCGTTGCAGCTTGACCTCTCGAAGGGGCAGGAAGCCCTGAATCGGGCGAGAGTTTTATTTGAAATACCCACCCTCTCCACCCTAATTGATTCGTGGAAAGTGCAGGGATTGCATCAGTGTTGTGCTACCTCAGGAAGCTTTGGACCTCAGTTTGAGGACACTCAGGTATGCTTTGTGCATAAGACCTGGTTCGGATCTTGGCTCTCTGCTTCGCAGTTTGCTCGGTCTTGCTCGTCTTCGACTGGCAGGCCGTTCACTAA